CCCCCCCCCTCCAATTAAAAAAATAAATCTGGTAAGGGTGGTTTTCTCTCCCATCACACATGTATGGTCCTCATCTCTACAACTTTTATTTTTCTGTTTGTTCCTGCAAGTGCTGTAAAACTTTAACTAAAACACAAAATCTGACCTGGTGAGTGAGCTTGTTCTCATGCTTCTCTATTTTTGTACATATTTCAGTCTCATGGAGCTTTCCTCGCTGAGGCCAGAGACCGCGAAGGCTTCTTTAACTACCTTATCCGCCTCATGGTGAGCGACATGGACTGGTCCACCCGCGTGTGGGTTATGTCGGGCGCTGGGTCAGACCGATGCAGCGCTCTCGAAGTGCAGAACATTGTATATGAGCAGGACTGTGCCAGACGCTACTACCCATTTATCTGTGAAACAGGTAAAGATTGTAGATGAAAATGAAATAGATCTACTTTTGTTACCACTTTATCAGAAAAAAATTTAAAATTCAAAAGCTGTCCCCTCTTCTCTACGGAGAAAGGAGAGAGGGGAGTTGAACTTCAAGCAGTCAGGTAAGGACTGATGTGATCTTAAGTACTGTGTCTACTTAGCTGTCTGCTGTACTGCTTGATGCAGGACACACCTGTATATGTGGCTATTAACCCATAATTGCTTGATCAGGGCTGTTGCACAGGCCCTAGGCTTCATGCAAAGCTTGTGTGACTTTATATCTTGTGCTTTCATCGTCGGAGACTGCTTTCAATTCATTCTGACGTACTCAAGCTAAATGGGAAAAATATTGGGTAAAAATCTGAGTTATCACGGTTTATTTTCTTAACTGAAATGGAACTCTTCAAATATGTTTCCTCAGATCATGGGGGGGGGGGGCACTCATGGCGCAGGTAATATTGAAACAATACCAGTGGTGTTATACTTTGGACTCTCCTCACTGCTTAAAGACAAATGTGTCCTTGTTAGTAATCATTTTGGATTCACAAGCGTGAATAGTCACTGATTTTGAACATTTCTGTTGAAGCAAGCAAGTAGTGTTAAACCCAGATTACATGATCTTCAGGGGACAAGAGGATTTCTTGGTGTTTAGTAGATTTCGTGTTAAGTGAAATTGCTATGCACAGAATAAAAAGGGAAAAAAACCTTGCATTTTGTTGTTACTTGGAACATAAAACAAAGATTTTACACTACTAACCTTCTTTCACATGCCACTATAACAGGAATTAGCCAAACCTGTTCCTCTGCTCTGTGTTGTGATTCCTTCCGCAGCTTTGGGGCCCCGATGCGTTGGATTGGAATCTCACACTTC